GGTTCCACCAACAGGCGATAAGAGAGGTTAAGGGAACAGTCATAGGCTGACTTTTCCCCCTGTTGCGGAGTTCCCAACACCCTCAGCCTGTCGATTGGAAATGTTAATAGAACCAAACATTTGCAAGCAAGAATATTGTATGGGTAATCGCCTACCTGCCATCCAAAAGGTTCTTCCAATAATTATGGAAAAAAGACTACAAAAAGGTACGAAACGCGTAGGACTGTATTCTTAGTGGCATTTTATACCTTTTTACATATCAAATAAATATACGTTTTTCCACCTTCCTGGTTCCTGTGCCAATTCATATTTGGATTTGGTTACAAGAAGGATGACCGAAGGATACCTCTGAGCCCCCCATTGCTTTCGGGGAGGCACCCTCAAGGCGATTACCATCTTATATCCTGTGAGTGTGCTATATTGGCGTGTCACATATTATACCTATTATGTTTTTTTTGTTTCATGTTTTTATAGGTATACAGCTGCATCCCAGTTTGTTCTATATTGTATATTTCCATTTGTTAGTAGCCCGGTGGGAAAAGGGCTACTTTGGGAGGCTGTTCAATTTTATTCAGGTATTTTTATACACTTTTTTCTGCTTGGGAAAAAGACTGTAATTTGCAGGTAACAACTCACTTATTCACTTAATTAACAATTTTCCAAACTGTTCTTAAAGCTACTACCAAATAGATCCAAACAAGCCCAAAATTGTAGCCCATCAGAATTTTGTATAATTCATCAAGCGACCCTGAAGATGGGGCCTTTTTAGTAGAATCAACACAAATATGTCCAAAATTTGCAAATTGGCCAATTGGGAGTGCAAGCAGTCAAATGATTAACAAAACCATTAAAACATTAACAGCTACAATATATTGAAAATAGGGTTCCTTGATTCTCCCTCTTAATTTTGGGGACTCGCTATTCTATTTCTCTGTCTGGTGGTGGGATAGGAGCCGCGAAATTGTGACTGTCCCACCAAAATTGGACATGTTGGGGGGCCTGCTTACAGGGTTTTCATCAAAGTGTGAATTTTAAGAAATATCAATACGTTACCCACTAAAGGATGGCTTAGCAAAAATCTGGGACTAGCTGGAGGCAAAATATGGACATTTAGAAGTGTTAAGCAACAATGTCCAAATTTTGCAAAGAAGCCTCAAAGTCCGCTATATTTTCAGTTGGTCTATTCTGTCATAACATTTGATATTCACTTTGAAGTCTGACTTTAAATTTTAATAAATGTGTTACTCTTACTGCATGCATCCCATCAATCAACAGATTTGTCAGTTATTCACTGAAGACCCAAACCTCTCTAGGTTTTGCGAATATTTGCAGAAACCAAAAAGTAAAGAAAAGATATTCTATATTGGAGTGGACTCGAATGGTACTAAATTAAAATTGGAGACAGGTCGTCTCATGCATACAGCAATCTCTCAGGAATTTAATAGACTGGCATTTGTGTAATAGTATCTGCATGACTCATTCCCAGTATCCCCACCTCCCCTCATACTGGGCTGCTACAGGTGTATCGAATAGATTTCTATATAATGTGATCATCGTTTTAACCCACAATGTTCTGAGTTACTTCCATTCCTCTACTCTGCCATAAATTCTACTAATGAAGGAAAAAAAATCCTGTATTGCTAGCGTTTGAGGTATTCCTGACTATTTAGATTCATGGGTTCCTCTGTAATAGTAAAATAGTATTTAATAACTTTCTTTCCCTCACTGCGCTGGTCTAGCCTCCCCTGGCTGAGATCATCATTACTGATGATCTGAGCCAATCCAATGCTTCTCAATAGATAGATATGCGTGGCAATCACCACACTGCGCCAATCTACGTCTCCTCCTAGAGATGCATTCACCTGTGTCTCTATGAGGAGACTTCAGTGTCTTCGTGAAAAGCTGAACATCGATTGAACAAATATGGCATGACTGTAATAGGAAGCACCTCTAATGGATGTCTGAGTGATGGTCACTACCTTAGCATACCACATGTATTAAATCAGGACAGACCTTGGGTGGGCATCACCGATGATGCAACTTGTGTCGCTGGCAGCATCTATTGTGGGTGAGAAAGTGAGTGTGCCTGCCTACTGAAGGGCCAGGTCAGCCTGGCATCAAGCATTGCAGGCTGATGGGCAACTTCTTGGCCACCCCCCAATATACACGATTGCGGAGAAAGCATAGTTGGAACACGGGTGTGTCTAATGATGTGCTTGCGCGGTCCTTCCTGAGGATATTTCCCTGGTATCCCCAGATTCGGGACACCAGGGAACAAAATTGGGAAAGGCAGGACAGGACCCCAAAATATCAACTGTCTGCAAAAAGTGGGACTGTTGGGAGGCTCGCATTAGGGAGTAATGTAAACACTGCCTTTTCTCAGAAAATGCAGTGTTTACACTGAATACCTTGCAGGGACAAGCTCTTTGCACCAGTACCACTACGTTAAGATATGATATACAGCCATCCCCATACCTCCCACGGCGCTGGATCACACCGGGTTTAATATTCTGAGTCTATTTTCACTAAAAATGCTGTTTGGCACAGTGAGTGCAAAATGATGAAGAATTTCTTTGTTCCTAAACATGATTTATTCATACAATAACCACCCTGAAAAATAAACGTTAAATGCCCTCCGGCTGTATATGATAAATCAGGACAAACGTGTTCCATTCCTGGCTATAAAAGCCGGGAGATGAAATAATGTTGTATGCTGACTTGAAAAAGAGCAAGTTGAGTAAGAGATACAGTGATGTCTCAAGGCTAAGTTGGCAGCCAACAAACTGGGTTTGGCCATGGCAATCTCAAATTTACAAGTTCAAATTATTATAAGCAAATACAATGTTTCATGTAGAGTAATGTAAATCAGTAGAAACACTTACAATGTGGATAGTCTCTGAATTTACCAACATGAGAATTGTAGGGAATTCAGCCTTAACTATGAAATTCACTTAGAATGAATTTAGAATACCAGTTCTATGAAAAGAATACCAGTTCGACTACTTTGGCCGTAAATTCGAAATTCTAATTGAATTTGGGCAATTTAGTAAATAGCTCTGTAAGGTTGGAAAACTGACCATGGCCCCTCTAAGTCCTGATTGACACCAAATGATAACAAAAGACGATCATTTGAGGCAGTCAATGAGCCTTGTTTTGAGTTTACTGTTGAAATGATAGAGAAAATGTCAGGAATACAAATTAACATAGTCCAAAAAAAAATTGACTCTACATAACCTAAATTTTGGATTCAGACCATCGTGCTATCCTGCATGCATGTAAACATAACCTTTCACCCGTACGCTAAGTGAGTATGACATTGCAGTGACAGTCTACTACGCCGTGAGATATAGTAACACGAGATTGTGTCTTTAATGTTATCTGACATTTTGCTGGATGTAATTTTTATGGCGAGTTTGTAGACCATTGTAATTTTTAGGTCCAGACTGACCACCCATCATTTAGAATTCTTCGCTTCATTGCAGAGAATTATCAACTCGTTTCTGTTTAGTCAAGCTCGGACGTTTAGTGACTCGGACACTTGGATGATGCATTTTTGTTTGATAACTTTCTGCCGACAGTACATGTGTTGAAATAAAGTCTTGGGAGATTTGCCCCTGCTGGGAGCTGCGTTCTCTACAACCATGACCCACATTTATGATGAGATTTGTTGAAAGGAAATTGTTCAGTAATATTAATTTAAGCCTCTCTAATGATTATTTAACTCAAAGGCTTTTCTTTTGATTCATAATATATGAACAAGCTCTCATTCGGCTTTGATGTGTCTGAGGCCATGTGAACTGTATTGAGGCAAATTAGAGGTGGTTTATAGAAGGTCTGAGGATTATATTCCTGTACCAATGTAACCATCACCCAACTGCTCATTATTACTCCCTCCCCCCCCTCCAATAAAGCAATTACTTCTTAGCATTAGTGGTAAATTTAAAAAATAAAAGAAAATATACTAAACTAGTCAAACTTATGCTTAGTTGCCAGACTATAGGGTTATTACCCAACATTGTGGCAACTCTAAACCGAATTACAAAATTTAGGCCAAAATAGGTGATTTGGAAAATTATCTAACTCTGCTATAGTTACAGCTGCTTTTGCAATTTTTTTTTTTTTGCAATGCCAATTCACCATCCTTTATTTGGAGTAATTTACAGAACTTGTGTACTAGCGCTCCTGTTGTCCTACATCATGTGAATAACGTAGGCATGTTTAAAAAGAGCTGTGTGGTCTACCATTAGCATAGGTTATAGTACTTCTGGAAGCGCCGCCTAGGCTCTGCTATGCGGGTGTTCCTTGCAGAGTTTGTGGACCAACCAATGGAGCAAGCTCCTAGATAAGAGTAATGGTTACCAGATTACATGATTGATTTGTGGAATTCTTGTATCTGCATTCTGTTCCTTCGGCTGCCTGCTTGAAGATCCAGGGTGCCAGCATTGCTGCCCCTCTCTTAACTGCCACCCAGAGATAGACATAGAAACATAGAAACATAGAAACATAGAATGTGACGGCAGATAAGAACCATTCGGCCCATCTAGTCTGCCCAATTTTCTAAAAACTTTCATTAGTCCCTAGCCTTATCTTATGGTTAGGATAGCCTTATGCCTATCCCATGCATGCTTAAACTCCTTTACTGTGTTAACCTCTACCACTTCAGCTGGAAGGCTATTCCATGCATCCACTACCCTCTCAGTAAAGTAATACTTCCTGATATTATTTTTAAACCTTTGGTGTCCTCGGCAGCCTTAGGTGATGCCTGTATATTCTATTCCACAGCAACTGGCACAACGGAATAGAATCTTCAGCTACTGTTTAGCAAAGACCCACGTTCGTGTTCGTTTTGGTAAAATTGGTATGTGTGTGTATCAAACAAGACTATGTAATAACTGACTGCACAATAAATTGTATCTGATTCCTAAAAATCACCTTTTGTTAAGATCCTTAATTTGCACTGGGTAGATCAATTGATGTTATAGTGATTAATAAAAACCTGAGAGTTTTGAATTATGCTTTTATTTAAAAAAAACAAAAATTGACAAATAAATACTGACAAATGCATTAGCTAAAGACAAATGAACAAAGTTAGAAATTTTTACAGGGAGGACGGAAGCATTCATCGTCTAGGTTTCCTACATGTATGTTTACGTAAAAATGTAAAATAAAAGTTTAAAAGTAAGAAAGAAAATTAAAATCTACATTCTCGTTCAGGATGTTGGTGAAAGGATAATATTCCAGTCAGGTAAAAAAACAAAATTGCACTTTTATGAAAGAACACTGCTTTGCTTAAAAAGGAAAACCCTGGGTACCAGAAAAAAAAAAAAAAAAATCAATCATAATTAAGTGGTTATGGCACCTGGTGGACCCCGGCATAGGCTTACCTTCAGATGTTATCTGTTCAACTCCAATGTCTTCATTCTTGTGTTGCCCAGCTCCGCCCTCTCCATCTGCTTGAGTCTGATACTTGAAACAGGAAGTCTTGGACCGGGTGTCGTTAATAGCGTCCGCTGTGTACATTCTAGCAGTAGTTCCACTTTCACAAAATGGCTTGTGGAGTATACGTACGTTCCTCAAGCCACTTTGTGAATGGGGAGCTACTGAAAGGACAAAAGCATCAACTGGCGCTCTCAGCCCATCAGCGGCGCCCAGTCTGAGACGTTTCAAACCTTGGACTCAAAAGGATAGGGAGAGGGTAGTTCATTAACTGCTTAACCTCTGAAGGCAAGTTGGCGCAGGGACCACATTTTTGTTAGGTTGCTCGGAGTGTTCCTTTAACCTTTTTTTTTTGTGTGTAAAAATGTTCCGGATTTAAATATGGTAAAATTTGGTAGCTGAAATTACATTGCAAAAATCTAAATGGGTTCCTCATAGCCCAGTATTAAAATGGCAAATATTTAAAGTTATGGAAACCCTTTTATATGAGTTTAACATTTTACAGAGATGAATTTCATATAGAAAAGGTTGGATTACATCTTTACTACACAAATAAACTCCCACAATGCGCTTGTTCTAGGAAGATCAGCGTTCATTGCCTAGATTGTGAGATGAAACTTAGCTTAATTAAAAAAAAATAAATGATATTCCCAACTATGGTGATGGCTCAAGTAAAGGCCAACTATTCTCAGAAGAACATCACTGTAAAGACAGATACACCAATCAATGTGACTATTATCCTACTTAAGCACATGTAGTAAAAGTTACACTTTCACCTGTGCTACCTCTCCCAATGTTTAATAGAAAACAAAATGGCCACCTCCACGCAGGATTCATTTTGTGCTGCTGGCAACGAATTTGAGAAAAAAAAAAACAACACACACAAACCTTTTTTATACGGATTAAAAAGCAGACCAAAAAAAATACATGATAATATATCAGATTGGTTTGCGTTGTTCGTGCATTTTATAAATTCATAGACAGAAAATCCTCCCTACGCAAAGACAGAAATCGATGAGTATTAATGCTCTGAGTGCAAAATTGTGATGAGTTATATTGTAAAAACCAGGACACCAACCTTCTGCCAAAAGGTAGTGCTCATTAATACCATATACGTTCTATGTGGGCACTGGGCCCAATGAACACTTAGAAAACATGGTTACAAAACATTGACTGTAATAATTTGCTTCCTAGATAATGTCTGGGAAAAAAATTGCAGTTTGTATTAAAAATGAACCCATCACTGCAGCTAAATGTGACTATGAAGTAGGAGAGTAACAAACACAAGATAACATGGTCTGGTTAATGACGAAAGCTTTGTTAATTGGTTAAAGACCTATACTTTCACTATTCCAACTGCTGTGATGTTCAGGACATGTGTCTGATAAGTGAGGCCTTTTTAGAGCGAAGCAAGAACCTGGGTCTCCTGGAAAACTGGTATCAAGTTGAAGACCAACTTGACCGAGTATTGTGAGTACAATGTGTTGCTGTAAACTGGATACTTTCTGCTTTAGGTGAAGTGGTTATTGAAGATTCAGAAGAATAGTTTGGTAGGACAGAATGCTGTAGATCTCCGGTGCCAAGTTAAATTAGTCCCTGATGTAAATCCGTGTACAGGTGACCTCATCAGCAACCATGGTCTAAAAAGAACCAGAAACGTGAAATGTTAAAAATATCAGATGACTGTACAAACAATGGACCTGTGCAGCGTGAAATCTCTAAATTATGCAGACAGGTAGCAACAAATGTAGGTGATATTATTCAACGAACAAAAGGACTTAGTGATTTTATCTGTGGTCATTTATATATTCTATTTTGTGTTTGGGAAAGAAAGAACTCACAAACCATGAAATCTATCCTGGATAACATGTTAAAGTGCACACAATACAAATTTAATGATAATTATATGATGAGAAGTGGACATGGACCTACTACCAGATGTTCTAGAACTACAACTAACATGATGCTTTGCATGCCTTTAGAATGACAAAGCATCACGGAAGTTGCAGTTTTAACACATATTGGAATCTACCTGATCTACATATACCTTCACGCAGGGCCAGTGCTACCATTAGGTGAAAAAGGCTTTCGCCTGGGGCGCTGGCCTCTAGGGGGGGCTGCACTCCAGGAGGTTTCCTGGTCAGCTTCCCTGGCTGCTGCTGTGCTGGGTGAGCAGCCATTTATCTGCTGGGCTCCTTTCCTTACCTCCCGGGAAGAACACGGCTTGCTGCCGGAACATGACTTGGTAGCCCGGCCGCCCCTGCCAGTGAACACCGGAAACACTCTGCAGGGAGTCGGAAGCAGTCTGTTCTCACTGTGCACGGCTCTCCTGCTCCCCCAGCAGAAACAAGAACACTCCCTGCAGGCTGGACCCCTCTCCTCCAGTCACAGCACTTAGGACCATTCGGAGGTAAGGGGAACTGATTATTTTACATAATTGTAAATTGGTGGGTCTGTGTGTACTGAATTGCTCTGTGTGTAAATAAAGTGTGACTTTATGTAAAGTGATGTGAGTTTCTGTTTGAGTGGCAGTGTGTGTGTGCGCGCAAGTGACACTGTATGTGAGAGTGTGTGTTAGTGAGTATGTGAGTGAGAGTGTGTATGGCACTGTCAGTGAGAGTGTGTGTGACAGTGTGTGTTAGTGACACTGTATGTGAGAGTGTGTGTGTAGGTGACACTGTATGTGAGTGTGTTATAAAGAGTGTGTAAATGGCACTGTATGTCAGTGAGTGTGTGTGTTAGCGAGTATGTGACTGAGTAATAGTGTGCGTTGGTGACACTGTATGTCAGTGAGAGTGTGTAAGTGACACTGTATATGAGGGAGAGTGTGTTACTGAGACTGTAAATGACACTGCCAGTGAGTGTGTGTGTGTATATGTTAGTGAGTGTGTAGATGACTGTGTCTAAGTGACACTGTATGTGTGTCACTGAGCATGTAAATGACACTGCATGTCAGTGAGTGTGTAAGTGACACTGTATGTCAGTGAGTACGTAAGTGACAGTGTGTAATTGACTGTGTGTGTTACCATGTAAAGAGATTCTCACATATTAAATTATATTTATAATATAGTTTTATATTAAAATGAAAAAGTCTACTTAAAGTTCATATGAATTGAATCCCACCATTATTATAAATTAAATCCCACCAAACGCATTGATGTATGTACTAAGCAATATGTGTGCATGGATAGATGTATTTTGCACTATGAATGTATGTATTAAACAGTGTCAGTGGCGTACATACCGGGGTCGCGGCTGCAACCGGGCCCGGCCCACCAGGTATGTACGCCAGTGTGGCCAGCCTCTTCTCCTGGGGGGGCCCGGGAGCTGGCCAACTCAGGGCCCCCCCAGAGGCCGGCGGGCGCGCGAGGGAGCACTCTCCCCTGAGCACTCTCTGCCCAGCTCCCTCTCGTGCACCGCACTGATGCAGGAGCCGGAATATGACGTCATATTCCGGCTCCGGCATCAGTAAGCGGTGCGCGAGGGAGCTGAACAGGAGGATCTCAGCTCAGTGCTCCTTTGCACGCCCGCAAGACCGGCCGCCCAGCAACACCACTGGACCCCAGGGAATCCCCTCAGCACTCCCAAAGGTAGGGAGGCTGGGGGATCGCTTTTTAAAAAAACATGTGTTTGTGTGTTAGTGTTTGTGTCAGTGTGTGTGTCTGCTAGTGAGTGTGTGTTTGTTAGTGAGTCTGTTTGATGTCAGTGTGTGTCGCTGAGTGTGTCTGTCAGTAAATTTGTGTGTGTTAGCTAGTGTGTATGCGTCTGTTCGTGAGTGTGTGTGTGTTTAAAACCCCTTCAGCACTTACCTTTCTCCAGCGCCAGACTCCTTTGGCGCTGGGGATCCCTGTGCTCTGCCTCTCAGCTCCGAATGCGCATGCGCGGCAAGAGCCGCGTGCACATTCAAACCACGTTGAGTAATACTTTCTTACGGACGGCCAGCGTCTTCTCACTGTGATTTTCACAGTGAGAAATCACGGAAGTGCCTCTAGCGGCTGTCAGTGAGGCAGCCACTAGAGGCTGGATTAACCCTCATTGAAACATAGCAGTTTCTCTGAAACTGCTATGTTTTCAGCTGCAGGGTTAACACGAGAGGGACCTGGCACCCAGACCACTTCATTGAGCTGATGTGATCTGGGTGGCTGTAGTGGTCCTTTAACCCCTTAAGGACCAAACTTCTGGAATAAAAGGGAATCATGACATGTCACACATGTCATGTGTCCTTAAGGGGTTAAGTGTGTTTGTGTATCTGCATTCACTGGCGTACATTCCGCGGATCACTTTTCGCACCGGGGCCCCATGGGTCGTGTGTAGGCCACTGCACAGTGTGTGTATGTATGACTTCACTGCAATTCAGAATTTAGTAAATAAACCTCTGAGAGAAAGCCTCTCCCTGGAAAATAAGGAAGGGAGAGCATGAGTGAGGCCCATGGTTGCGGGTGGGTGGTCCCCAGATAGACACATAGTTGCAAATGGGGAGCAAGGGATGAAAAGGGGGGGGAAGGAATGAGGGGCCTTACCAGTCAGCGCAGATAGGTTGAGGGATCCAGACTTTCCCACCCTCCCTCCCAGTAATAGATTTGGTTGTGTTCTGTTTCTGGTGTCGGTGTCTTGTGTTTTGTTTTGTCACAGCTTGCGTTTCTTCCTGGCCAGTGCTACAAGGGATGAAGACGACAAGGCAGCTTGGGGAGTTGCAGCCTGCCGGGAGCTGATGGCAGGAGGCAGGCTGCTCTGGACTCTTGGAGAATGGTGTAGAGCTGACAGAGGAATTTGCTGGCATGATGTTTATGGTTAAATAATGCTGTGGCCGTTGCCCTTACCCAACTTACTCAGGTCTGATGTGTTTTATTTGGGGCAACGGGGGAATAAAGATATATGGGTCATCAGTCATGTACTTGCAATTATGAGGGGGCAGCAAAAGGGATTGTTGCCTAGGGTGGCAAGAATCCTTGCACCGGCCCTGCCTTTCCTGTAAACAGCTTGAAGTGATCTTTAAATATTTGACATCGAAGATTCCCACCAAAGCAATACATGAACCATCTTGTATATTGGATTGAGATGGCTTAAATGACCTGGATATCTGTGCCATGGAAATGTACTAGAGACAGAATGGTTCAAATAAAAAGTAGGTTTCTTAAAACTAGAGGCCCAGTAAACGTTTTTTGAGGAAATCCTTAAAGTCATTCAGTTTTTCCCCTTCCTCGTTTCTTTGCTTTCATGATAGCCTGGCGCTACCACTGGATCAAATGCACCAATAACACTCCTGTGTTCGGCCGCCATTGGTCATCTGTTGGTAGCATGCCAATTTGACGCATGCACAGGATTAACGTTAGCCAGCACGGAACTCTTGTTCTAATGAAGCTGCCGGTGACAGAGTAACACCACAGACAACAAAGGGCTTTAACTCTGTATGTTCAGTATTAAAGGATTACTATAGGTTCAGGAACACAAACTTGTATTCCTTGCCCTATAGTGTTTAAACCACCATTTAGGTGGCTTGCCCCTCCCCTTAGCCCCTCTATAAAAGTATAAAACTTACCTTATTTCCAGTGCCGCACGGGTCCGCTTTGTGACATCATCGAAATGGCAGATTTTTTGCCAATCCAATGCTTTCCCATAGGGATGTAGAACAGCAGGGCTGCTTACTGGAGTGGCCACTTGAAGGTGTCCTGAAGGACATTTACCGTGAAGCCCTGAGCCAGGAAGCCCACTCCATTTAAGGAGTGGCCACTTGAAGGTGTCCCTAGGGGAATGAAAAAAGCCTGAAGGGAGCCATTATACTCACCAGAACAACTGCATTAAGCTATGGTTGTTCTGGTTACTATAGTGTCCCTTTAGAAACTAAAATGCTGCACATACAGACTCCAAGCACCATGACCACTTCATATAACTGAGATGGGCATGGTGCTTGGAGAAAAATATATAGAAGAGCTTATAAGGACACTGTAGGCACCCAGATCACTTCAGCTCATTGAAGTGGTCTGGGTGCAGTGTCCCAGGCCCTTAACCAGGAGCATGTAATTATAACAGTTTTTAATAAACTGCAATAGTTACTTGCTAAGGTTAACTCCACCTCTAGTGGCCATCTACAAGACCACCACTAGAGAGAGACTTCTGGGCTTTTCAGGCTATGCGTGAGGACATCCGGCGTCACCAGAATCCCCATAGGAAAGCATGAATTAAATAATGCTTTCCTATGTTGAAATCCTAATGTGAGCAAGGACAATGCGGCGCATGCACATGAATTCTCCCCTGTTGATGGGAAGGAGAGAAGGTGGACCCAAGCCAGCACAGAGGGACTCAGGTAAGTGACAGAAGGTTTTTTTAACCCCTTCTGCACCACAGGGAGGGAAGCTATATAGTTTCTCTTTAATTTAGTTCTTCCTGAATTAATCTACCAATAAATTCTAAACATCATATCACATAAACCACTGTTAGGCAGGCGTTGAGAGATGCACAGTGATCCAGTAGAAGATAAATGGAAGGGGTATGATTTGAAGAATCTTGCAGAAGCCTTAGGGATTTGGAGTTAAAGGGACACTATAGTCACCAAAAATATATACTTTAGCTTAATGAAGCAGTTGTGGTGTATAGATCATGCCTCTGCAGCCTCACTGTTCACTTCTACCATTTAGGAGTTAAATCAGTTTATGTAGCCCTAGCCACACCTCCCTGCATGTGACTTACACAGCCTTCTTAAACACTTCCTGTAATAAGTAATCTAATATTTATACTTTAATTGTACATTCTGATTAATTTAGAATTTCTCCTGCTCTGTTAATAGCCTTCTGGACCCTGCAGGAGCCTCCTCTATGCAATTAAAGGTAAATTTACAGAGCAGGCGATAATAACTACTAAAGTAAGTTAACATCTAATTTAAAATGAAAGGATGTGTTACTATACTGTATAAACAGAAACAAAAGTGATTTAACTTCTAAATGGCAGAGAATTGAGCAGTGAGACTGCAGGCGTGCCTCCCACTTCTGTTAATTCAATGAAGTGAATAGAAGAGCAGGATAACCTACACGTCGGTTTTACTCAACTTGATATAAGAAACTCTTCCCGGGCTGTCAAAAATAGGAATCCAGTGCCCTTACGATGGGATACTCCTTACACAAAGTAGTAAGGCAAGCTGAAATGCTTTGTGTGTGCAAATAGGTCCTTTAGTCATTGTTTGTTTCCTTTTGTGTGTAGTGTTTGTTTACGGTTTGTCTAACATTACTAGTTGGAGTATGGAGTAGCGTTTCATAAAATCACTAATACTCCATTGTTTTTAAATGTCCCCGTTTTTTTTGTCCATTTAAAATCCATTTTCAGATGATAAACAAACCAGTAAATCTAAGATTGTACTGGAGGCAGACAGGACCCTATCCACTTACTAGTATAAGCTCGCCATCGTTGGTCAGTTCCCTAGACCAGGAAGTCTTGGGTCCTTCTCCTTTCAGAAGTCTTTGTTCGCAAACCATTTTGTTCTCACTTTCCCACTTGGCCAAGCTCTGGAGCAGAAAGAAACAAAAAAGACAGAAAAAGGAGACAATTAATTAACAAACAGGCCTCTTCAGAACAAGACACCGAATCCCCCACCATCAGTCATGGACAGGAGACAGCTGCAGAGGAATCCAACAGACTCAATGTGCTGCCTTTCCCCATTTATCCAACTCCTGACTGGGGAAAGTTACCAGGCGGCAGACACACAATAGAGCAAGTGGCCTGAACAAGGACTTCACCCATTCAGATGATTTAAATAAGCACTGACATTTAAAAATAGAATGGATTTAAAGGTGGAAAAATATTGGTCCATCATAAAACACTTTTGCAGAAAATGGCACAAAAAATAAATAAAAATAAATAAAATAAAAACAGACGTAATTCATATTTATGTAGTCCTATGTGATTTAAAGATTTTTTGATAAATTACATGTTAAACTATCTACACTAAATATTAGTCTTGCAATAATTAAAGATCACGGTGTGTAAGGGTGAGCATTGAAACTTAAAATATTGGTCATTATGATGGTATTGCAAGTGTAAAATATTTTAACTGGTAAATGGTTAATTTCCTCATACTTCTAGGAATAAAATTAAAATATTAGAGAGCAAGAAAGTTGTATTATACATGTACGCTGCGCTTGTGAGGTCACATTTTTCAAAATTTGATGGTTTTCAGCAATATGCGTGTGTGCATATTTAGGCTTTAGCGTGAAATGTTAGTCGAATTTTTAGATGTTCATTATAAATGAAGATAGAAATATAACATTCTGGGGAAGACACAGTGAAGACGATACAAAGAAGTGAAGCTAGGTTTACAACAATCCAACTAAAGTGATGGACACAGGGACTTTGATCTCACAGCAACGGCTAGGAGCAGGATTGATTGGAAGAAAAAAAAAAAGTTCTGAAGAAAGTTTTAAAGAGCGATTTAGACAACATATAAACCACATAAAATCTATTAATACGGGGTTTGCATTTTAGAGACCAGGTTCAATTTAAAATAAAATTATCCCAGAGAGAAAGACTACCCCTGATCGCAGACTAGACTTGCAGTCAATCCATTTCATATTCATGGCCAGTTTATCGAAGGAGTTAACACATCCCAAGACTGGGCACAGACTTACATCGGTGCAGAGTTTCATTTAATGGCAACGTTTCAACATAACCTCACTTTACCTGACCACAAAACTGCTTTGGAGTGTAGACCTCATCGAGAAGTGTCATTTCCTTTACCCTAAACTGGGCACTCAATAAAATATCCCAGAATCCTTTCCAGGAAACCTGTATCTACTCTGTTCGGGGAGGTGACAAAATTTCCATTTCCACTTTCCCGTTTTAAAAATAATAAAAAGGAAAAAAACTCTTGCAAAATGAAATAGGAGCCTTGTGCATGGTGACAGATTGCACTTTGAAGGTTTGGAAAGGGGTACATGACGCAGTTATTCGCTGGACGAACAGGGTTACTGTGATTTCAAAATAGCTCAGTGAGTCATTACCCCAAAAGGGGAGAATGTAATCATTTCTGCTCGCCCTCTGCTTGTCATTTAATATGTATAAGTGCGCCCAGAGCACCTCATAAAACAGAAATGACTTTGGTAGGAGATTAACCAATGTTGCAACCATGATGCCATTTCCTTGGCTGAAACAACATAGATAGTATTGCAGGCACCTGCGTGAACGCAGTCACAACTGGATTTCACATGGTTTTGGTTATATTTGTAACGCAAGGAAATGGTACATTAGATATTAAACTCGGTCCTGACGGATAGTGCTGGCTCAGAATACTGAAACGTTAGAGAAAAATCTAAAATAAAAATATGCTGTAGATTCCAACATATCAGCACCTAATGGCATTTAGTTATGTCCCCAGAATTATGTCCCCAGTTATGTCCCCAGAATATATATATATATATCCCATTTTAGGTTGTCTGCTTCTCTGTGTGCGAGCACACTTTAGTCCTTTCTTAAAATCAGATATTGGAATTTGAAATCCCGAGTATAGGTCTAATCAAAAGCAGAGACAGATAGGGTTATTTAGTAAAGTGAATTTCAAATCCAAGGCTACAGTGGAAGCATAGCTGGTTTAAAACATTTTTCCTGTTCCGCTATTTTGTCCTTAAATTTGAAAAAGTTACTTTGAATTCACCTAGAGATCTCCCTTTAGTGACTAACCGTGTCTATTTGTCGACTTTTATGGAGGTCAGTATCTCAAATCACCCAGAGGCCATAGCCCATGAATATGACAGGACTGTTCAGAGACACCTTGGCACCAAGTAGAATTACTGGGACAGTGGGACAATAAAGGTAAGGGGGTATAAACTTCCAGGTTTCCTTCTGGATTAAATGCCCTTTGATTTGTGAGGGTTCCACTTCAAGAACTCTTCATAAAAATGTGTGAAATCAACACATAAAATAAAAAAATATCTTACAAAATGAGACCTGAACAGTCTGATTCTGTAGGCGGTTAGCAATTGACTACCTTGCATGGGCGTCCATCTACGGTCTGCTCCTCAAACTCTTCCCCCATTTTGAAGTTGATTTCTGTGGTTCGGACGGTGGTGGACGTTTTAATGTAGAAGCACTCTCCTTCCTGTTTGATCTCTACAGCTGGTTTAGAAGCTGCAGCTACGGCAATCTTCCTCAGCATCATGTTCACACCTGGGGAAAACACACCACAGGAAATAAAGTCAGTCCACTCTCATGTGTGCCACAGATTACAAAATTACATAAAAACTAATTAGAACACAATATAAAAAGTATAAATGCAGCAGCCATTGTATACTAGCCTTCTTCTGTAATGTATAAGGTGTCCAGAAGATCATTATCTCCTGTAGCTTCCACAGTGGAAGGTGTATGTTTTAAAGGAACCCCCGAAAGAACGCATGTAGCAGAACCAGTCTCTAAAAAGTAGCTGGAAAGTTATTTTCCCTTCACAAAACATTACTGTACCAAAACAACGTGCACATTTTGCAGTCACTCCACGACCTCACCAGATGGAGTCCAATATCATAGCACGATTCTACAAAACAAGATTAAAATTTCACAAGGCCCTTTGACCATCTTGTTTCTATTCACCTTAACCAGTTTGTCACTTTTAGGATTTTTTTTTAAAATTTTTTTTTTTTGCACATCCATTGTATGCATCTGCAGCATCTATTATCCTCTATTAAAAAAAAAACAAAAAACAAAAAAACACCCAAACAAACCACAACAACCCTACCCCCCATCCCCAAAAAAACCTACCTGTTTTTATAGTCCCCCAGTATTGAAACCACAGAGCAGGTTTTTGTGGGTTAGTGATGTTAAAGGGTATGAGGTCAAGTGACTGCAACGGGGAACAGGACTTGTCATTGGGCCCATCAGTTTGTATACAAGACAAAACACAGATGACCCTCTCTAGACAGAGACCCATCTCCATTAGTCATTTGATCCCCAGCCATTGTGGCAGAGGAAGGAAATAAAAGCCTACAGACCTTACAAGTCTTCTGTGGACTCCCTACAATTACTTCAGATCAACTTTACACGTCTCCGTTCAGATACCTCAATCGAAGGTTTAGGTGATGACAAGGCAGCAGGAAAAAATAAAAATATTCGCTCTTAAACCATGGGTAGTTTTCTCAAGAGTTACTTAGCGGGTGAAAAAAAAAAAAAAAATACTTCTTGCCAAAACACTCAAATTCCATTTCCAAAACATGATTTTCACTGAACCAGGACATTGCTGTGGAGGACGTATTCTGAGAGGTGATGAAGACATTGTAGAAGCTCTGAATTCTTGGGTTCAGAAACTTGTACAACTTGTTCTTTAAGAAATGAGATTCTAACACTCCGTATCGTTGCCTTTTGAGCTACTGTTCACTTTACAGAAGTATCAGCACTGGACAACATATAGTGCCAACTTATCCTGCAGCGCTTTACAATATATATTAAAAAAGTATATAAATAAAAAAAAATAAAAAAAAGGGAAATTAACAATAAATAAAGCAAGTACAAAAAGTTACAGGACCCTGCTCAAATGACAGATTAGGCAATGATCAATATCATAGGAAACCACCAAGCACCATAAACACTACAGCTTGCTGTAGGACGTGCCCTGACGTTCACCCCAATACATCATATTAGAATGATATGACTTCTTACCGCAGTCTGCCAAACACCGCTTACTGTCTTAATACTAACGGCAGATGGCAAGAAGTGTTCAGTCTGGGCTAAGCCCTGTGCAGGACTTAGCTCATTGGCTGAGAGCGATCAGCTTCCGCCTCTCCATTGTTAGTAGTAGTTCTAAAACTATTTGATTTACAGCATGCTGTAGTGGTTGTTGTGCTTTGGGTATTCCTTTAAAGGACCACTTTAGGCACCCAGACCACTTCAGCTTAATGAAATGGTCTGGGTGCCTGGTCCAGCTAGGGAGAAACTGCTATGTTTACACTGAGGGTTAATCCAGCCTCTAAAGGCTGTCTCATTGACAGCCGCTAGAGGCGCTTGCGTGTTTCTCATTGTGAAAGTCAGTGAGAAGACGCACTATAGTGGTCCTTTAATAATTTATTTGGTAGCCTTGATTATAAGAAAGATGGTTTTGTTATCAGCAATTCAGAGCATCCAGCCTTAGATGTGTCTGAGCCAAAAAGTCAGTTGCATGCATGCATACTTAAAAAAACACTGCATTTGACCCCCGTGGGTGGACCACGGACCACGTGCATAGCTTTGCTGACTAGATGAATACAGTCATATGACTGTCATTTCCTTATCTCTGCAAATTGATCTAAAAATAATTGAGTACATCATCGCTTGCTAGGAGCAATTAATAGAAAGTGATCCAAATGACATTTTGGGAGATCACTAGAAAATATAATTAAGTCTGAATGGACACTTGTACTCCTCTGGAAGACTTATGTTTAGTACAGGTATATGAATTCCAAGAAGCACAAAAGAAGATGGTCCTTGCAAGAAGAAGACTTCGTGGTCCAATTGTGATGGAAAAAGGGGGTGGGATGGTGAGTGAGAAATACGTGACCTGTTATTTTCCTGTATAAAACCCATCTTGTTTGTAATGAATAGAGAAAAGGATCCTTGTTAATACAGGACTTTGGCTAGAAGTCAAATAAAGGTTGGCAAACATTTCATAACTCAGTCGTACTGTACTAAAATATCCGATCTTGTGATATGACTGGGGGGGTGGCGGGAGTGACAAATTAACCACACACACACACACACATTGTAGGATACTGTTCTAGCATCTGCAAACCCCAAAAATATTACACGCTTATATTCCTATTAAACAGACATAGACCACCCTTGTTTGAAGGCACTTGTCACACAATAAAACCAAAACATTTGTTGTTTTCTAAAGAGTGTTATCGTAAGATACAAGAAGAAACAATACGATTACGCGATGTTATGAAATCCTTATAGACATTGAAGCAGTCTGTCCAGAAGATGACAGTGTTGATAAAAACCTTATTATAATAATATCGTCTAGGTTTCTTCCAAGTATTTGTTGTGTCAAAAATTAGGGAGCGGTCTCATAAAACCATATACCACCCAGCAGGCCATTTTGGTCGTGGTAGGATCCCAATTCTTCCGAGATTTTAGAATGCTTTCAATGGCTCATGTGCCATACTCCGAGTTGGGTGAGGGGACATTTAGAAACAGGTCAATGTTTTGAAGTAGGGATGAGGATCTCAGGATGTCAAAAAGGGGCGTTAGAAATGACACTATAAAACAAGATGTCATTGTACACAGAGGCATAAAATAGGAAAACACAACCAAATCCAGGACCTCCTGCTTTCTCGGCTTTGATCTTTTCAGAAGATGTTTTAACACCAAGGTGATAAAACCATAAAATCTTTAAGAAAAAAGAAAGAAGATTTACATTGACTGATAAACAATAGAGACAGCATTAAAAACTTCAAGGGCTCTGCTCTCATGTGAATAGGACAGGACCTCAACTTGTAATAAAACCAATGTCTGACCGCCCTCCCTTTTTGTTTGAGGTTAGTGTATAAGGGTTACCTCAAGGGGTAAGTGAGGTTCTGAATAGCCTGTTGTGATTCTGGGTAAGAAACGGCTTGTGCCAAGTTGACCTCTCGCTGGTTGGAATTAGACATTCTGGAGAAATCCCACCAGTGCTATTGAAGTCATTATCCAGATCTCTCCAGTATGTAAAAAAAAAAAAAAAAAAAGGTAGAAATTCTGACCCATGGTATCAAATATCCAACACGTTAAGTCATGGTAAAGAACTATTAATACATTTCCATCAGTAGGACAGACGATAACCTGATCCGGAGCAAGGGAATTCCAGAACGGGCCCAGGGTACGGAGAATACAGGGGATGGAGCAGTCTGGATGGTCAATTATATTATAGTGTCTACAGTGGACGGGGCAATAATAAAGTGAATACAGGGGATGGAGCAGTATGAATGGGCAATAATAGAGTTATTACAGAAGATGGGGGCAATAATAGAGTCAATACAGGACATGGGGCAGTTTTGATGGGCAATAAAATAGTGATTACATAAGATAGGGGCAATAATAGAGTGAATACAAGAGACAGGGGGAAATAGTAGAATGAATACAGGAATGGGGGTAATAATAGAGTGAATACAGGGCATGGGGCAGTTTTGATGGGCAATAAAAGAGTGATGATATAAGATAGGGCAGTAAGAGCGAATACAAGAGACAGGGGGCAATAATAGGGTGAATACAGGGCACGGGGCAGTTTTAATGGGCAATTAAAGAGTGATTATATGAGATGGGGGCAATAATAGAGGGTTACAGGGGACGGGGGAAATAGAAGAATAAATACAGAGACAGGGTAATAATAGAGTGAGTAAAGAGGACAGGGGCAATAACACAGAGTGAATTAAAATAGGAATTAATCAGAACTGGGATTTTAACAAAGCTGCTCCGTTAGACTTGTTACATTATCATTAAAAAGAAAAATATGTATTTGAAAAGAAAGTGAAAAGGAGAACTTAATTGAAAACAGTATGCGCCTCTCCTTTGATAAATTAATGTTATTTTTCCCAGCTGGGGGACGGAGATAATATAACCTCTATGTGTCCATTTACACGCTGGGTTTTTGACTCAGCAATTAAATCCAATTAATTTCCGTGTTGTCAGACATCCCTGCTGTGCAGAATATGTATTTTTCTCTCAATGGGGGGTGGACGCAGAGAGAGCGGGTGCCAAAGGCTCACCCTTTCCAGCTGGCAACCGGCTGCTGGGTACATGCCAACATCCTGCCAACTCCTGGCCTTTCCGAGTCACAGCGAAACCTCTGGAAGAGAACATGATGCCCCTGCACCTGTTATGTGTGGCTGGTGTTAAATGCTAGGGGGATATAGCGCATTAACCCCATCACCACCAACGCAGGGAAGAAGGATTAACATGTTAATTCCCAGGATTTGGGAGACGAAGTTTAGTATGGGAGAGTCGGCAACAGTCGATGTATGTCTGTCAGCAATGTAGTTAAGACTAATGATTAGAATTGTATGTGCTCTTTCTCCCTTTCAAAACCTAGACAAAAATTAATTATTGGAAAAAAAATAAATCCATACTATATTACATTAAACAAATTAATAACTATTCTTAAAAATGACACTAAAACCACAGACTGTTTTCATATCTATGGCATTAAAGATTACAGCACTAATGTCAGACCTCTGGAGTGCTAAAAAGTATACATTTTCATAAGGGACCCTAAACCTTTTTCCCCAAGATCAAGTCCTGTGTTACGCTACAATGCAGCAAAGTAATTAGGAAGAATCATTCAAGTTCTATCTATATAATTTGCAGACTAGCAACAGACCCAATTTTGAAAGGACAGACCCAATCTGAGGGTCCTGTCCTCAAAAAGCGTAATTCGATTGTATCATTAGATGCACACAGGGCACTAGGATCACACAGAGAGCACTGAATCAGCGCTCCCAGCATGGCCGCCCTTAGAGGGATGCCCTGCGTGATTGGCTGGAACCTGTAGTGTATTCACACCGGGCTGATCTTCCAATTCTCTCCACGGTGTGTCCATCCCCTTTGGGCAGTGCCAGGGAGGCGATTTGTATCACTGGCTCACCATTATCCTGTGAAGCAGGATGTCGAGGGGTTATGCAACTGGATTATGGTAAAGGAATACTCAAAGTACCATAACCACTACAGCTTGGCGTGTAACACCACTATAAGAATTGAAAGTTTAAAAATTACTCCTTGACTTTAGTCTTCAGAGTGCTGCGTCCCACTTCCTTTACATCCTACAGAAAACTGTAAGCACTCCGAGCTAGGCCTGGCAGTGCAGGGCTAACTCATTGGTTGAGAGACATGCGCAAATGTTTTCAGATAATAAGTTAGCTATGCACTGCCAGATTTAGTTCAGGAGAGCTAAAAGAAGCTCCTAAGCCTCCAGCTTTGTTGGATATTGTGTAGAGTGGCACTCAGCGGCCCCCAGGTAAGAAACCATTCTAAAAAACGGATTGACTACTAACAATGGGGAGCACCATAACCACTATGACTTGCTGTAGTGGTCATGGTGCTTGAAGTCTTTGTTTAAGTCTTTCAATTTTCGTAGGACAGAACTGACATCACTGTGCGTTGAGAGATGACTCACGTCTCCCCAGGTCCTGGCAAGTTTTTGGCAATACAGACACTATTTAGCTTATAGAGTATCTCTATGATGAGCTGTACTTGCAACTCCTGACAAGACACGCAATGAATAACCTGAATCACCCATCTCCCATCAAATCAAAATCTAACAATGGGTAAGGAGGTCATTGTTTATCACGGCATACAGTATCATTCCTGGTAAAAGACTTTTTAAATATATCAGATATTCTAGCTCTGGGTAGGTGAAGATCTACAGCAAATGTCAGTACACAAAATATTACCCAACAACAGGCAAAGTGGGCGATCCCTGTCACCGCTGGTCAACCATTGCAAAGCATGCGCCGGGCACCAAGAATTGCTCTCACACATGACCCTTTTGTACTTGATGTTTAAAAAACAAAAAACTTCAGAGATGTAGCGCACATGTAGAATAACCCAGAATGGCAGGATATGTGTTTACAACCTGGTCAGAACCCACCCCAGACGAGGAAAAGATGCAGAGACACATTTGTTTGTAAACCTGTTGCGCCCCCTTAAAAAAAAAAATAAAAAAAAAATATCATATTGTTATGAAGAGCTGCTCATATTCTAGAGCTTTGATTTCCATAGCAGAACAGGTCTCGGGATACAGAAATGGGTCTCGAAGGAGGGGTGGGCATTCAACATCTCAAGAATTCATCTCTTAATGGAGGATTAGAATCCATTACTAAATATATGCAAATAGTTTAGATTTTATTATTATGTGTGACGGGTTCTACAGACAATAAAATGCATAAATGGCAAAAAATTCATTAAAACAGCCAACGCTTTGTAATGTGAAAAGGCATGTGAGAAGCGCATTTTTAAGATCACACCAAGGACGGGAGGGTTTAATATGCATGCAGTGGCTGGAGCCAATTTTAGCATTGGTTTGTAGTTGTCCTGCCAAATTTGGGTGGTCTGGTTAAGAATAATGGGAGTTAAAGTCTTGCCACAGTCGAAGGGCAATGCATTTTCATGCAGAGAGTTTAGCATGAAACGGCCATGATTAGAGGGTTGGATGAGGTGGGCAGACTGCTTTTTTAATCATGGATACATGTTTTCGGATCTCCAACCCCAAAAAACAGATACCCATTGTCCCTGGTCAATGTAGATCAAGGGTGCTGTGTTCTGAGTTTCCCTAAAGAATAAAACCTTGGTAAAAAATGTTTTTGATACTCAAATGTACAATGTGGCTCGGATTATTAAAAAAAATTAGCAAAAAGGATTCTCACTCTCATTCCCGTGTTCGGCTCACTTTAACTCTAAGTACTTTACAGTAATTTGCTCACCCTGTCTTGTATTCAAACAGATTAACGAATAGGGAAGGATATACAGAGACAAAGACCAGACAAACGTTCCTTGCTTCTAGATGTACAAAACCATTTATACGATTTTACATTATTATTTATATAGCAAATTCCGGAGCGCTGTACATAAATGGATTCTCTTTCATATGCAATAATTAAATTAATTGCATTAAAAGGGTGCTCAATGAAAAGGGGGGAAACAAACAAGGGGTCACAAAAAGATCGATCGGAGGCAATGACGTAATATTATGGCCGATTTCAGAATCTAAGATTAGCACTGGAAAGAATGAAACACTGCCATGTTAAGAAGCTTTAGGTCATTTTTCTCATGTTATCGGGGGCCACAGAGGTGAAAGGTTTGACACCATCATTTATTTTTCAGGTGCTTAAGATCCAAAGAAAGGTTAAAACTAGGAACAAGGTGGGTGGGTGTTTACAAGGATTCAAATTGCTTTCTTATGCACGATGGTTACATTAGCAACTAGCAGTGAAGACATTTGTGCCACAAGCAAGATGGCGGATGATTTTTGCCGCTAAACTGCATTTGCAGCTAGTTGAAAGTCTGCAGGAATACAGGGTTGGTAAGACCTCCTCATAACCAAGCTCACCCCTCACGCCACCAAAACCTTCAAGAGTTTCCCAAAGCGATTACACCATTTCTGCAAACATAGCCAAAACAGAATTAAAAGTACCATAACCACCCCCTCCCTTCACTGTCAAGAAATACCAGGACGTGTTTCCAGGACAGAATATACAACAGGAACAAAAACGACAATGAGGTGTTAAATGAAGCACTGAGATCATTTTCGAAGGGAGCGGCACATGCAGAATCTGATCCATCTACCCCTATGAATCCCAGCATTGAAGAGTCCATTGGCCACCAGCAGCATTAAGATTGCAAGCTCCCAGGACCAGGGATAAAATATATCATAGAAGAATATGTGTAATTTCAAGATAAAAATCAGATCTTGCTGTAGGGGCTTGAAAGTCATGGTCAGAGAAACTGGCAAATTTTAGTCTATACTAACAGAGTTGGACGCATAGTGGACTCTGAGAACTTTTCCAATTTGATTATGTTGGTCTGCCTCACAATATGAGATTTCCTCATAAATTCTCCACAAGTCTAGGTTTAGTACAAAAATCACTCTGGACAATAGCGTTATTCACTAAATGTACATTTTTAGGACAAAGCATCCAAGCTACAAATATTGCTGAATTGATGAAATTATCCCAAGCCGCTATCAGTTTGAATTGTATTTGAATTTCTGATAATTCACATTTTAGTGAATAACCGTGAATAGAAGACTAACCGTAAAAAATAAATAAAAATAAATCTGAAATACCGCATTCTGCTGTAAAAGCACTTTAATGCCTTTTTGAAAAGGTCTTTACAAACCAGGACGAAGAAGCATTATATTGCCTCTACGAAACAAAAGCAGAGAGTGACAAGGACACAGATAGCAAACAAAGCCCATCAGCAAATATTTTATAACAAACATCAATACAACCAAAAGTGAGACACGTCCCAGTGTCTGTGTATTAAGAGGAGGTGACGGGCACATGCCCAGTGTCTCTGTATTAAGAGGAGGTGACGGGCACATGCCCAGTGTCTGTGTATTAAGAGGAGGTGACGGGCACATGCCCAGGATCTGTGTATTAAGAGGAGGTGACGGGCACATGCCCAGTGTCTGTGTATTAAGAGGAGGTGACGGGCACATGCCCAGGATCTGTGTATTAAGAGGAGGTGACGGGCACATGCCCAGGATCTGTGTATTAAGAGGAGGTGACGGGCACATGTCCAATGTCTGTGTGGTAAAAGGAGATGATGGGCATATGTAGTAAGAAGAGGCGATAGGCACATGTCCCAGTGTCTCTGTATTAAGAGGAGGTGACAGGCACATGCCCAATGTCTGTGTGCTAAAAGGAGGTGATGGGCATATGTAGTAAGAAGAGGCGATAGGCACATGCCCCCAGTGTCTGTGTATTAAGAGGAGGTGATGGGCACATGCCCAGTGTCTGTGTATTAAGAGGAGGTGATGGGCACATGCCCAGTGTCTGTGTATTAAGAGGAGGTGACGGGCACATGCCCAGTGTCTGTGTATTAAGAGGAGGTGACGGGCATATATGCTCAGGGTGGGTAGAAAGGTTGACAGACAACATGTCTCGGTGTCAGTGTATTAAAAGGAGGTGACGGGCAAATGCCCAGTGTCTGTATGTAGAAAGGGTGACAGGCAATATCTCCTGGAGTCTGTGTAATAAGAGGTGGTGACAGACATCTGCACATTTGGAGGATCTGTAATATACCCCAGTACAAAAACATGCACCCACAAACCCATTAAACTAAAAAGGGGACAAAATGCTCCTCCAGAATGCAAACCACAAATAAAACATTAGATCACCCAGTTATTCACTCACCCAACGCTTTCAGCATTTCCTCAAAATTTTCAGAATGCTTCATTTTCCAGTTTCCTGAGAAGTTGGGCATCTTTGGGCTGTAGCGTGGGGGGGACCTCAAGACAGAATAAAAGCACAGAACTCGTGTGACTGCAGCCCTGGGTGTATGAAATAACCCTCAGATGATTCCCTACAGCAATGACTGATGGGCTCTGCAAATAATTAATAGCTGCCTTCAGGCTCTCTCATGAAACAGACTATAAGCCTCCTGTAGATGTCTCTGCTGAAGCATTGCACGTCTAGCGAATGAAACCCAGCTCTCTCTGGCTTTCCATATATACATACATATATACACACACATATACACCCCCTATCTGGCTATGTGCAAAGCAGCTAAAATCTTAACCTCCCACTGCAACACATTACCCCCCTTCCTGCTTCCCCAGGGAGGGGCTAGGATGCTTTCTCAATACCAATCCCACCTGTGGATTTATCTACAAAAAAACACACAACAAAAAAACAAAGTAATTCTTTAAGGATACAATGATCACAGTAATGTAACAGGTTCCTTTATATTTTTGGTTTCTTTTTTTTGCTGGATAAATTCCCTTTTTTCATTGCCTTGAGGGAGGGATTTGTGAAGTTGTGTGTAATTAACTGCTTAGTTTCTGGCTGAGTCACTCGTGTTTTTTTGGGGGGGATTTGTAGCCTTTTTGAGTGTTCGAGATGAAAAACTCTATTCAATCAAATATATGCAGGGTTAGCCATAAAAAAGGGGAATTGCTGGGAATTCAAAGTAAATTTTAAAGTTTAGGACAAAAATAGCCAAATTAAAAGCATAGCCATATTTGATTCTAGTTTGTCTGTGTTGGCCTTACATTTCATATTTAGTTTGAATTATGGAGAATCGATATTGAGTGCAGTAGACAGCAAATTGCAGTGCGTTCAAAAGCAATTTGTAAAATCTAGGCTAAAGTAGCCAAGCTGAGAATTTTTCCAAATCGGCTATTTTAGCCTGACTTTATAAGCTACAAAAACACACTGCTCCAGCATTCAAACAGTCAAACCTTCAGTGATAAAGAGGAAGATAGTCCTTAAACAAAGGGAAACCTATTCACTATAGTGGGAGATGTCAGGAATTCAAAGTGAATTGCAAATTTAAGGCCAAATTAACCAAACAGAAAGCAGAATTAATTTGGGATTTTTTTCTAGTTCCGCTACTTTGGACTAAACTTTAAAATTCACTTTTATTTCACTTTTGACTCCCTGGGAATGCTCACTTTAGGTACTTACCCTGACTGGTATTTAGCAGTGCTACCTGGACAATTATATTATTCTTAAAAACATTTAAGTGCAAAAGGAGGTGAAAATGCTAAAGGCATAGGCAACCTTCGGCACTCCAGATGTTTTGGACTACACCTCCCATGATGCTTTGCCAGCATTATGGGTGTAAGAGCATTTTGGGGTATGTAGTCCAGAACATCTGGAGTGCCGAAGGTTGCCAACCCCTGTGCTAGAGTGTAAGCCAAGCTTACCCAAACTACGGCCCTCCAGATATTGCTGAACTACATCTCCCATGATTTGTAGCTGATCTATTTCATTCATAGAATCATGGGAGTTGTAGTTCAGCAATATCTGGAGGGCCGGAGTTTGGGGAAGCCTGGTGTAAGCTCTTGGGCAGGGTCTTCTGTTCCTTATGTATCAGTACATGTTCACTATTTCTCTGTATTCCCTCTATTGTACAGCGCTATTGAATATATTGGCACCATATAAATACTAAATAACAATGTTTTTTTAAAAATTCACCTAGCCTTAGGTTACGTCGACCTGGGAACAGGATGCCTGAGAGTTCTGGGAGTTTACATTCATTAGTTGCCTGCTGCTTACCCTGGGCCCTCGGTTAACGTTTGCTGAGGGATCTGTATGGATCTTATATGAAGACGTGGTCTGATAACTAAACTCTCAACATGCTCATGACTGCAGTGTTTTCAGTGCAATGGCTGGAATGATAATGATAAGTGTTGACATTTGCTATATAGTCTTAGGTAGATACAATGAACGCAGGGGACAAGGGCTTCTCTATTGGTGTCACTGCTCAATCCAGCAGGTATACAAATGGTCTGGCCATCCTCAAAATGTAATGAAAAAGTCAAAAGCCTTGTCTGCCCCCAGCTGGTGTTACGAGGCTACACGACCCAGAGTCTTCATGTAGAGACAGTGATTGTTCACTAAGCAGAGAAAGCTAAAGATCACAGTCCCCTCCAGAATCTATTTAACAGGATAATGTTCGTATCTGAACTCTGCATCATAGTGCAGTCCGATTCAAGTTATCAAAGACCAGCCATAGCTTTGGAAACCTCGAAGCTGTGCAGACTTATTTTTGGCCATCTCCGATGTGTTGATAGATATTGTTGAGCGAAGCATACTCCCAGTTGTCATGTTTTGGACAGTGCTATGGAATATTTTGTCTTTCTTTTCAAGTTACCATCTTTTTTTAAATTAAGTTGGCCCTTTGAAAGCCTGATTGTTGTGTCTCCACTAAGCCCAAGACAGCTAAACCTCAGGACTTCTTGGGTTAGATTATTCCATAATGTCATTGCTTGAAAAGTTCTACCAAGTTCTCTTGATCTAAGTGTCCTTTTATTTCAATGGTGAAATGTGTTTCAAATTAAAAGGTATCAGCCTGGATGTGGTCCTGAATCCAGCTGGACTGAACTATTTGTTTCATGGAGATGCTCCTCCATAGACTGAACCCTGCAGCTCTCCATAGACTGAACCATGAACCCTAAAGCTCTCCAGAGACTAAACATTGAACCCTGCAGCTCTGTATAGTTTCAACACTCAACCTTGAAGCTCTTTAGACTGAATGTTGAACCCTGCAGCTTTCCATAGACTGAACATTAAACCTTGCAGCTCTCTATAGACTGAACGTTGAACCTGGCAGCTCTCTATAGACTGAACGTTGAACTTGGCAGCTCTCTATAGACTGAACACTGAACCGTATAGCCCTCTGTAGATTCAATGCTCAACCTGCAGCTCTCCACAGATTGAACACTGAGCCCTGCTTTCTCAATAGACACGTAATCCTGAAATATCTATCTCTCCAATGTCAGGACAAAACAGTGGCACAACACGGAAAACTAAGTCAAACCGAAAAAAAATAAAAAATAAAAATGTATTACCGGGCCTTAGAATGGCTGAAAATAACGTAAATAGAATAACGAGTAACTAGCAGATGTCAGGGGTACAGACAGGAGCAAACACGGAAAGTCAAAAGCCAAAGGGTCAGATAGCCAGCAATAAGAATAGTCAGAACAAGCCACTATAAATAACCAGAGTACCAAATACAGGAACACGCTCTTGGATAACCAAACAGTAATGGAAACCATGACAGGGCAAAGAGGGGATACAGAAATGGGTTTATATAGCCCATTCCTTAATGTCATTGGTGGGCAGGGATCAGCTGAATCCGGAACGTGTGTGCGCTCCGATTATATGGCAGCGCACAAACGTCTGCGAGACCCCCGACCCTGCTGGATGCGGGGCTACATATATCCCTATGAGTGCAGTGGAAGGAAACTGGCTGTGATCCGCCGCAACTTAGGTAAGTGCCTGTAAGCTCCTGTGTGACCGCACCGATCAGGTGCAATCATATGCGGCCGCTCGAAGGGAGCCATGACATCCATAGACTGAATATTGAACTCTGTAGCCCTCCATAAACAGAAAACTGATCCTTGTTCCTACCCACTAGACCCTGCAGCTCTTCATAGACTGAACACTGAGCCCTGCAGCTCTCCACAGACTGAGCACTGAACCCTGCAACTCTCCATAGACTGAACACTGAACCCTGCAACTCTCCATAGACTGAGCACTGAACCCTGCAGCTCTCCAGAGACTGAACACTGAACCCTGCAGCTCTCCATAGACTGAGCACTGAACCCTGCAGCTTTTCACAGACTGAGCAGTGAACCCTGCAGCTCTCCATAGACTGAGCACTGAACCCTGCAGCTTTTCACAGACTGAGCACTGAACCCTGCAGCTCTCCATAGACTGAGCACTGAACCCTGCAGCTCTCCATAGACTGAGCACTGAACCCTGCAGCTTTTCACAGACTGAGCACTGAACCCTGCAGCTCTCCACAGACTGAATACTGAACCCTGCAGCTCTCCACAGACTGAACACTGAACCCTGCAGCTCTCCATAGACTGAATACTGAACCATGCAGCTCTCCACAGACTGAGCATTGAACCCTGCAACTCTCCATAGACTGAGCACTGAACCCTGCAGCTTTTCACAGACTGAGCACTGAACCCTGCAGCTCTCCATAGACTGAATACTGAACCCTGCAGCTCTCCACAGACTGAACACTGAACCCTGCAGCTCTCCATAGACTGAGCACTGAACCCTGCAACTCTCCATAGACTGAATGTTGAACTCTGCAGCTCTCCATAGACCAAACCCTGCAACCTTCCAGAGATATAACATTGAACCCTGGATCTCTCTTTGAGCTGGAAGGTTATAAGCTGTTTAGTGAATACACCGATAAGTATTGATTAAAGAATGGTCTCTAGCTTTAGTGAGCAGACCCCATTCTAAGAATGGCAGATATATGTTCATCATGTTTGTTTCTCATCTCATTTTACCCCCCTGAGAGTGTATATATATTAACAGGTGGGTCACATGAATGGCAAAGGGGTTACTGTAACTTTATTTATATTTGCTTTAATCAGCTGCAGCAATGAAAGTGTTAATGACCCATCCAGATTATTGGCCATCCCGTAATCCGCATTCAGAGAGGAGTGTATATCTGTCAGCGTGTAATATCGAGAGTACCTACCTGCATCAGCAACTGCCTCACCAAGGACCTACCGTAATTCACTAAGCAGTGACCTGGGGTGAGTGTTAAGTTTTAATTCCATCCCCATAAAGCAGATCTGGTAAAAACCCTCCAGCTCTGGTGCCTGGCTTCTTTTAGCCTGCCATGTGAAAAATACACTACTTCACAAAAAGGTGTGTTTGTGACTGGAGCTGCCTTCCAGAAGAGGTGGTAAGCTTCCATCCTACAAATTGTGGTGAAAATATAACAACAGGTCACGGCAGATGAGTTAAATCTCTTTAATAATATGCATTGGGTTATTCATTTAAGAGTGCATAGTTAGGAATTCAAAGTGAATAAACTGTGATTTTCCAAATATTATCTAAATATCAAAGTGGAAAAATTCTCCAAGTCAGCTATGTATTCAATTCAGCTTCTTTGGCCTAAAATTTAAAATTAATTTTGAATTCACTTTAAAATTCCAACAATTGACACTTTACTGATTAATGAATACTCCTGATAGTTCCGATCACTGAAACCATAACATGGACAGAAACTGTTAAAGACTAAAATATAAGAGGGTTTAATCCCGATGAACCTCATCAGACGGTGAACGCAATGAGTAAATACAGACAGCAGACACTGGCAGATACTGTCATTGTGTCTGAGTTGGAGTTTGCCCGAACATGTCCGGGAGCGTGTGTGTGTGGGGTGGTGTAGGAGTAACATGTGTCACCCAGAGAGATCCAAAGCTCGATAACCCTAAATTAATCCCAGGCTTCTTACTTAAGCTTCTGATTCCGTTTGTGTGTGTTTTAATCTTTATTCGGTTAAGATATCTGAATACAGACCATAAATGAAATAATCAGTTTTTTTTCAAATATATAGTTAATGTATAAATATAGATTCATTTCTTTTTACCACTCCTCTTTTTCACAGACAACAGCCTCGAGAGGGGCGGCACACAGGAGAGGGATAGCCTTGCTGGACCTGGCATAAAATCCCAAGGGCAGAATATAGAATATTTGATAAACTGCTAACCTCAACTTCTGAAATATGTAACAAGGTTGATGTTCCAGGAGGGATAAGCCAAATGGCAAATGATTTAGGTAAACTAGAAAAATGGTCAGAGTTGTGGCAACTGACATTTAATGTGGATAAGTGCAAGATAATGCATCTTGGACATAAAAAAAATGGCAGAGTACAGAATATTTGATAGAGTCCTAACCTCAACATTTGAGGAAAGGGATTTAGGGGTAATTATTTCTGATGAATTAAAGGTAGGCAGATGTAAAAGAGCAGCAGGAAATGCTAGCAGAATGCTTGGTTGTATAGGGAGCAGTATTAGCAGTAGGAAGAGGGAAGCGTTCATGCCATTGTACAGAATACTGGTGAGACCTCACTTGGAGCAGGCCTGGACTGGCCACCGGGCACACCAGGCAAATGCTCAGTGGGCCGCGATGGCCATGGGTCGAGGCCGACAGGGGAGGTCACAGGATCTCCCCGGCCAGTCCATGCAGGGCCGGCACTATCCGAGCGCCGGCCCTGCACTAGTCCATGACGGGCCAGAGGGGAGATCAAAGATTTCCCACACGGCCCACTTGCACAGACATGCGGCAGGGGAGGAAGGGAGAAAGGACCCGGCGGAGCTCTATCTTGCAGCTCCGCCGGGTTCCTCTGTGGATCCGGAGCGTTGCCATGGCAATGCCTCTGATCTCGGGAGCATGAGCTCTAACCCCACAGGCTAGAGTTCACTCACCACTAGGACCACCAGGGAAGGCAGCATGGTCCCCCCTCCCAGGCTAAAGGTAAGAAGGGTGGGGGGATATAATGCCTCACACACAGCACTCTCACACACATCACTCTCTCACACAGCACTCTCACACACTGCACTCTCACACACAGCACTCTCACACATATCACTCTCTCACACAGCACTCTCACACACTGCACTCTCACACACATCACCCTCACACACATCACTCTCACACACATCACCCTCACACACAGCACTTTCACACACATCACCCTCTCACACAGCACTCTCACACACATCACCCTCACACACAGCACCCTCATACACAGCACTCTCACACACAGCATTCTCACACACAACACTCTCACACACAGAACCCTCACACACAGCACTCTCACACACACTTTTCACCCCTCACACTCACAGCATCCATCACACACACTGCACCCCTCACTCACACATACTGCACCCCTCACATACACACTACACTCCTCTTACACACCCACTGTACCCTTCACACACCCACTGCAGCCTTCACTCACACACACTGCACCCCTCACACATACACACAGAACCCCCCCAAAACACTGCACCACACACACACACACACACAAAATACTTCCAAACATATATATATATACACTACAGCACCCCTCACACACATAATGCATTACATCACACCACAAACACAACATGACTAAAACCGACCTTATTACACAAAACCACACCACAATCTGCTCACTCTACACATACGCAATACCACAAGCAGGCTCCAAACACATGCACAATACTCTTTCCTGGCCCTTTTGTCTCCTGGTATCCATTTATGGCGACACCAGAGACAAGTTGCAAGGAAACACAGTGCAAGCATGTTATTAAATTTGCTTGCACTGCACAGAACAAATACAGGGCTTTTTTCTCATGCTAGAGCTCTTCAGCAGAGCTGTGCGCATGGTCTGCCCTGGAAGAGCATTGAACCAACATGCTCACTTTGAGAGGGGGCGTGTTTGTCATTAGTGATGACAAAACACACCCTCTCTGCCCCGCCCCCTTCTTAGTGGGCCGCTGTGATAAAAAAAAAGCCCGGGCCGAATTTGTTTCCCAGTCTGGCCGTGGGCAAAGGTTTAAAAATAATTTCAGAAAGTATTACTTTACTGAGAGGGTAGTGGATGCATGGAATAGTCATCCAGCTGAAGTGGTAGAGGCTAACACAGTAAAGGAGTTTAAGCATGCGTGGGATAGGCATAAGGCTATCCTAACTATAAGATAAGGCCAGGGATTAGTGAAAGTATTTAGAAAATTGGGCAGACTAGATGGGCCGAATGGTTCTTATCTGCTATTCTATGTTTCTATGTTTCTGGTATCATTGGTGGTACAACAGGAGTGGATTATGGGGATTAAGGAAAGGGGGAGATAAATGAATAGAGGGGGCTGGAGAAAGCTAAAAAGGGATACGAATAGATAGGAATTGGAAACACAATGCACAGACACACATACACACTAAGATATCACACAAATATACTCCTGCATGCACACACTGTCTCTCTATAAAAACACACTAAATTCACATACTAGCACGCTATACAAATACACCGGTCAATCATACAAACTCACTAACACTCCACACAAACATGCACCTACATACACATTGTCATTCAGCCACCCAACCAGCCACATACTCCGAACTAATCATATTCCCCAATCTACCCAATCAGATTGTCCCATCCCACCACCCAGTCATACCTACTCACATTCATACACATAGCCATAGGCGTGCACACGGGGTGTGCCTGTTGTGCCTGGGCACACCCTAATCCCCGTGGCACGCCTATGGTTTGAGTCCTGCAGGAACAGCGTTCCTGCACTTTTTTTGAGCAGGAACGCTGTTCCTGCAGGCACTCAGCGCCCCACTCACCTCTTGCCCCTGTCATGGGGGGACAAGAGGTGATGGATTCCCCCCCTCCCCCTCCAGCTGAGCCGCGGCGAGGGAGCTCTCTGCTGTGTGCTCTCTGCTCCCTCTCGCCGCGCGCTGATGCCGGGAGCCGGAATATGACGTCATATTCCGGCTCCCAGCTACAGCGGACAGCCCGCGCGGCGAGAGGGAGCAGAGAGCAGACAGCAGAGAGCTCCCTCGCCGCGGCTCAGCTGGAGAGAGGCGCCCGCCCCACTGGACCCCAGGGAAAAGTCCACGCCAGCACTCCAGGTAGGAGGCTGGGTGGACATTGTTTTTTATTAAAATATAATAATTTGTTCGTGTGTGTATGTGTGTGTGTGTCTGTGTGTGAGTGTGTGTGTGTATGTGTGTGTCTGTGTGAGTGTGTGTGTCTGTGTGTGTGTGTCTGTGTGTGTCTGTGTGTGTGTGTCTGTGAGTGTGTGTGTCTGTGAATGTGTGTCTGTGTGTGTGTGTGAGTGTCTGTGAATGTGTGTGTGTGTGAGTGTGTCTGTGTGTGTGTGTGTCTGTGAGTGAATGTAATGCGTGTCTATGAGTGTGTGTCTGTCTGTGTGTGTGTCTGTGAGTGTATGTCTGTGAATGTGTGTGTGTGTATGTATGTGTGTGTGTGTACGCATATATATATATATATATATATATATATATATATATATACACACGCAGAGCCGGCGCTATCTGAGTGCCGGCTCTGCTCTAAGCCTCCATGGGCCGGCGGGGAGACCAAAGATCTACCTCACCGGCCCACAGCAGCATGGAGGGAGGCAGGAGAGGACCCAGGGAGCTCTAGACAGAAGCTCCGCCAGGTTCCTCTCGCGATATCTGAGCGTTGCTGCGGCAACGCTCAGATCTCGCGAGAGTTAACTCTAGCCCTGCAGGCTAGAGTTCACTCTCCACTGGACCACCAGGGATGGCACATGGCAGCAAGGATTTACTAATCTGCCAAATCCCTCCAAACATACAGGACACACACATACAGCACCTACACACATACAGCTCACACACACACAGTACACTAACCGCACCCTCACAAACACACACAGCACCTTTAAAAAAAAACACAACACCCTCACACACAGCACACTAACAGCACCCTCACAAACACACACACACACACACACAAACAGCACCCTCACAAATACACGACACTCACACAAACAGCACCCTCACAGGACAAACATACACACACAAACACCCTCACACACAATCAGCACTGTCACAAACACACAAACACACTAACAGCACCCTCACACACACATCACACTAACAGCACACAGCACACTAACAGCACACACAGCAGTGTGTGTGTGTATATATAGATACATACATACACACACACATACATACACACGCGGCGTGTGTTTGTGCTTTAGGGTGCACACCCTAATGCAATAGGCTGTGCACGCCTATGCACATAGCTACATTACATGTCACCTACCCCCAGCCACCTGGCACTTGCTGTCATCCAACCTACCACCTAGTCACATTCAGCATATAGTTATTATCCAAATCAGTCGCATTCATCCTTTTAAACATAAACCCCAAACTACACACATTCTTCCTTCCAATCACATACACCAAGCTTCATATATATTATGGGATGAGGTGCATTGAAGACAATGGCCTTGGGGCAGCAGAGTGGGAAAATTCAGCCCTGTCTCTATGGGTTACTTTTTGTCTCTTGAGCTGTGGACCAAATGGTGGAAAAATGCACCTACCTACATTTATATCATGTAAACATTTTGCAGTGCACTGATTGGCCCGTTTTTGTACACTTTCGGTTGCTCTGATTTGTTTTCCTGAATCTTTTCCGTTAACGAAATTCAGATGAGCTGAACTGCCATATTGCCGAAATTCTGCAGTCGCAAAAAATTGTTGTTGTTTTTTAGATGCAGTGGTTAGCCAAAACATGTTTTTTTTTTGCCATGTACAACCCTGCTAAAAAGGCAAAACAATTAGGAAGAGAGTATTGAGGGAAGGTCCTTTCTGCTTAATTTGCACTATACATATGGGACCAGAATACTATTCTTTTGGAGGTAAAACTCCTTGCCCCTGGAGCAGCCTCTAAACTACAGCCATTCACTGGAACACAGTGACTAGATAAAACGGGAGCATGGGGCCTCTAAAGGAGGGTGGTTTTTCATGGGGTGCATGGAGCAACCTTTTTTGACATTAGGACCCTTTGGTTTCTTGCAATTATTTTTACAGTTGGTTTTTCACCCCACAATCTTTTCTCTCAGTAAACATTATACCTCTAGATTGTAAGCTCATGGGTTGACTTTCATAATACCTTGTAATAGGTTAAAGCTGCGACAGGCTCTCTACTCTTGGTGTATCAGTGCATCTAATTACATGTCTCTCTGTCTGTACAATCGCACATGTTCTTTCTGATTAACGTGTAAAGGGCAATATGTAAGAACTGTAAAATAAATAAAATACCTAAAAAACCAGAACGGTAATAAACAAATAAAAAGAGTAATGTCACGATAAACCTCTCTTGTTATGTTGCATTCAAAAATAATGTTTAACATATATTACTGACAGGTCCTGCATCCATCCCGTCATTTTTAAAATCCGATAATGGCAAACGAAGAGCCATGATTTCTATGATTTAATGGGATTTGCCGAAAGCCCCTAGCTGTGAAAGGGGTCATTATTTTGTCTTGTAATTGGCATACCCCTCCTGCCCACAAAGCTGGTGCTGCAGGATCAGCGTTGCAGTCAACGGCTGCTGGCAAGCCAAATGTTCTTTCTCTCTCCAAGTTCCAGCTGTCGTGCTTTTTGCGATCACTTAGGCGCCTCTGACGAAACCCTATGCCGCTCGCTGTTGTAATGAAGGCATGTATTACTCGCAATGCCAGTTCGGAGGCTCACAGGGCGC